AACCACAACATCGGCAACATCAAGGGCAATGTACAGGGAAAAGACAACAAAGTCTTCGGGAGCAGCAATTGGCGAAATCAAAGAAGTCAGGTAATAAGAGGAAGGTGGTAATTGGAGAATTTGGTAAAAGGATAGAGATTTCTTGCTTAGTAGCAAAATCTTCTCTAGACAAAGTTTTCCAATGAGTATCAGATGTACTTTATTACATTTTTCTGACGATATGTGCAATATCAATATAAAAAATTTAAATTGAAAATAGTGTAACTTTCATGAACAAAATTTATTTCTGTTGTGGTAAAGTTTATCAAGTCATTTGATATATTAACTTTTACTAAAACTTACCTCCTAAAATATTTTTGTATAATACTTTATTGATATTGATACTGATATTTTTTTTATTTTATCTAGAGCAACTGTGACCGATGACAGTTTAGAAATGGAAATTGACCTGATGTTCGACAATTTGATTTTCGAAGGAAATTATAAATTTGATGGAGGCGTCAACCTGTTCCAAATACACACGAAAGGATTCTTCAACATCAGCATGGGTAAAAAAAAAAATAAATTCTATATAACAATGATACTATTTTTTGCCATAGTGGCAAAACATATAAAATCATCATCTTGTGGATCAAATACCAAATTCCCATAAATTTTTCTTACCATCTCTATTAAGTCTATTATCCAATTTGCTTCCCATGATACATCTAATTATATACAATTACTATTAAACTCGCCACGTTATAACAATAACATTATAATAAATTAAATTATTTATGTTGCTTTTATTACGTGATTAATCTTAAAGGTCGATTATAGTGACACGAGACTTGTCAGTCATTTATAAATCTATTTTTATAATAATGTTTTCAATTTTGACTGGAAAACAATTCTGACAAGATCTTGACAGTAATGTGATAATAAGAAAAGTACTGTAAAAAGTTTAAGTTTATTTCCAGACCTATTTGTTCTTTATATAAATATTTTTAATTTCTTTGATTTTTTTAGAGGGTGTAAGTACAACTTGGGCCGTAAAAGGTGAACTTGAAGAACGTGATGGTGAAAAGTATATGGTTATTAAGGAAGCTGATATGTCGCCAGTTCCTTCAAATGTTAATATTTATGCCACAAATATTTTCCCTGATAAAGCAGTCAGTAAGTATAATTAGAGAACTTGCTTATTTTTGATAACTTACAAAATTTTCACTTATTTCTAAAAGAAAGTCAATAGTGTGAAAATGGTGAATCTACATACTGGAGTTAAAAAATTGGAGTTAATTATTCATTTATATTAATTTTAGAATGTTCCTATTAATTTAAAGTTCGTGTAAGAGATTTATTTTAATTTGTTTGTCAATTTGGGATAAACGTAGTAGGAATATCGAACTTCCTGATAAGTCAACCATCAGTACTATAGTATAAGAACATAAAATTTCTCAAGAATTAAAAACAAGATAAAAATGAAGAACCTGCATACTAAAGTAAAATTATTATTATCTTAATTAATAAAAAATACCAATATTATTTTTAGTATCAAAAACTAAAATGATAGCAACCCAAGGTTTAATCCTAGAACTAGCATCGTCCCTAAATTATAGTTCCTGGTTCTGATTGCAGTTCAACAAAAAAACGTTAAAAAATTGTACATCGCTATACATATGAATTACAGCAAATTAGATAAATGTTATGATTGTATAATAATATATATTCGAAAGTGAAAATGCAAACCGATTGTTAGTTCTGACAGAAATGCCGGTAGCTAATGCGGAACCCAAATTTACCAAGCAAAACATCATGGCGTTCTTTCATTGTTTTTACTGTTTTTAACTCGAATAAAAAAATTATGTTTAAGAGAAACTTGAAATCACTAAATAATTAATATGGTGTAATTGAATTAGTGTATTGTTTCAACTTTAAAGTAATGCAATATAAGCAAAAACTAGACAGAACAAGCTAAAGTTAAAATTGATTTGCTTCAAGTATGCTTATATTGTGAATTTTGTTATTGATTTTTCTCTAAACAAATTATGAAGAATTTAAAATTGAATAATGCAAATAAATAAATTAGTTATTAATTATAATAAAGAACGGAACCACTGATTTTTAATAATCGTAAACGCTTTAAAATTCTTAGATGCAGAAGCAAAACATTTTTATATATGCAGTAGAATCATTTAAATTAGTTTTTATTAATAAAATTACTGCATTCCCAAATATTCGAAAAATTTATGATAAAAAAAATTATTACACGTTCTAAATTCAACTATTAGGTTTAATTATTTTACTACAATTATATTTCTTTTCCAGATGACGCTTTCCTAGTGACCATGAATCAAAACTGGCGCTCCTTATACAAAGAGGCGCTCCCATATTGAGCACCCTCGGGGACCCCCAATCAAAACAGGAATGAACTACGTTTTGAAAAAATAACCTTCCGACGTCTGTTCCCAGAATCCTAAATAAAAAACTGATAGTGCAAACTGAATGCTTAGAAACAAATATGTGATTGTAATGATAGTATTAGAACATGATATAATATGTTAGAATAGTGGTTAATATATTATGAGTATATAAATTTTTACAGATGTTAATATAAGTATATGTTAATGTTAACAATTTAATATAAATTTTGTATTTATATTTATTTTGTTATATACGTGTAAAAATCATTGAGTATGGTAATAGAGAAATTTTTGGTTAAATCAACTTCAAAATATTGTAAATAACAAAACTATTTGAAATTTAACTCAATGCTTACTCCATAGTATTTATGATCCAAAGAAAAATCCTTTATCAATTTATATCTCGATAAAATTATTATATAAATATATAAAAACTGTTATACTTAATCACGAAACTCTATACTTATTATCTTATCTTAATTTACTTTATAACTTATTCAATTTTAAAAATTATGTTCAAGTATTAAATTGAAATAAATGTTTTGGTTTTATAAATGTCTTCAAAATTTACAAATTTAATTTTATGAATTTATTATTGTAATATATAATATTAGCTATATTTAAAATGTATGTATAATATGATTAATTAAAAATTAAAAAAATGAAAATGTATTTTCTATTTTATTTAGTTTATGATAAATATGTGATAAAAAGCAAAAATAAAAAAATTTATAATTTGCATTAATTACGAATAAAAAAATAATTAAGAGCATTTTAATAAATAGTAAATTATTTTCATTGCTTTTAACGTAAGATTCTCCGCATTTTTTGTTTAAGCCCTTTATGGGTTTCCCAGGAATCTAAACCATTCCGCACCGCAACCTGAAATAATCCATTGGCGCAGGCCAAATGCACAGCTTAGGGACTCTACCTCAACTGGTTTTATTAGTCTTTACACCCAGTAGCAACTAATAAATTAGTTATGTACACAAATATTTTATGATATAAAATAATTGATATTTGATTATTTATTTATGTTTCGCTCTAGAGACTTTTATTAATGTAAATTGAATATTTATGATTTCAACATCAACCTACGTCTTAATAAAAACTTTGAATTTATACTTTGCATAAATAGAGTGTGTAATTATTAATGTCAATTAGAAGTTTATAAATATACTGAATAAGTCTAATAATAATTTGCTTCGTAAACTACTTAATAATTATTTAAAAGTATATAGTTATTTATATATACACTAACATATAAAAATTTATGTCTGCATGTGTGCGGCATCCTCTTTAATTTAATTAGTTCCTTATACACCACTTTTAATTTTATGAACAACTCTGCATAAGATTTGAATAATCTTCATATCAAAAAAAATAATTCTGATATTTTATTAAATTTTTAGCAAACAAGTTTAATTATACACTGATGCGTACCATTGAAATTAAAACTTTAGCCTAGTGTTAATTAATTTGTGCAAAGGTAAACAATTGCTTGAAAGATCGGGCCACAATATAATAGAAAGAGATATGTATATAAAATTATACATTTTTAGCATCAATAGATGTAAAAATAAAGCTTGAACTTCGTCTCTATTATATATTCGTCTCTATTGTGTAGAAAATAGTTTAATGGTAAACGCAGAAATAATTTGATATGAATAGTTAAGTATTTGTAATAATAAATAGTACGGAAAATATTATAACAAACAAGAGTATATTACACGTGTCCATAGCCCTGCTTTTGGCCGCCAGGGCCGTCTCCCAAGAGTGATATATCGAATCAGAACAGGTTGTGGTTGAGCAATTTTCGCATAAACGAGGGCCCCTTCTACTTCTTCTACTTGTTTGTGTTTATATAAAGTCTGACACACTCACGCAGGTAAACATTATTAAGATCTGATAATTCAAAGTGTAAATAATAAACAACATCTTGGGCTTAGGACACACCTGGCGTAGAACTTAAAGGTAAAATTTAATGTAATCTATTTTTTATTGGTCTCTTTAAAGCGTTTATAGCTACTTATGATTTTGTATTTTAATTATATCCTATAATACGACATTTAATATACTTTTTATTGAAATGTTATCATATTGATTTTTCATTAATATTAGTTTTATTTCCGTATCCTGGTTTACTCAGCTTTCAACAAACTTTTCTTTGCCTAGTATTGTCTCACGTACCCTCCAAAGCAATTCATATTTAAATAAATGATATATTAGTTTCAGATAAATTTCAAACAATTTTAACATTTTAACATTTATTTATGTCTACCTGTACCTCGTTACAATATTTTTTATCCAAAACAATTTATTTTTATCAAACTTTAAAAAAATATTTTTGAGCTTTCAAATTTAAATTAAAGCTTTTTTATAACTTTTAAATTAATTTTAATAGTCATATTTCTATAAAAGTAATAATTGTATTAGTCAATAATTTTATTGAAGTCAAATTTAAAGCATATAATTTAGTGTAATTTATTTTTTATTTGTTTTGAAATTATATATGAGATACATATATCTAATTTTTGAGAAGCAGGAATCAACTTTCAAATATTCAGCCTATATATAAGTTAACGTTATAAGTTAAGTATATATATAACTTTATAATTTTAAGTCCTTATCACATTATTTTATAAGAAATTAAGAATTTCAATCGTTTTCACGAAGAAAGTTAAAAATTCTAATTTTTGTTTGGTGTTCAGCTGAAATTTTTTTATGTTTTATAAAAATTATATACATATTTATATATGTTAAGATTTCATAATAATTTTGGAAATAGGGAACAGTCCCTCAATGACTCTACAATTTGAAACTAGAACAAGATTCAATATGACTAAATTATAAAAAATAGGCTGGCTAATTATAATTGAAAAGACATATAAGTGACTTAAGGCTACCATTGGTAGACATCAGACTACCAATTTATTGTAGTCCACCAATTTTCCTGATCAACAATTGTCCATTATAACTTGCCTATCAATTGACCCGTCTACCAATTAACCTGTCAACCAATGTACCTGTCTACCAGTTTACCTATCAACCTGTTTATCAATCCACCATTTTACCTGCCTACCAATTTACCTGTCAACCTGTTTATCAGGTTACCTGTTGTCCTGTCTACCATCTACCTATCTTTTAAACTAAAAGTTTCTATGTAGTTCGAATTTAAATATGGTTTGAGTTTACAGAAATAGCTTCAAGGATATTTTATCATTAGTAATTCCAATCGCAGTAGAATTTAGAAATATGGATAAATTAGAAAATGCATTTCCGCAATCGATTGCAGGTGCAGCTAATTGCGCATGTACAAATCGATTATTACATAATTCTTTGATATAAGATAACCGTGGCAAAAATAATTTGCCATTTGCCAGACAGTGAAGAATTTATATATTTTTTTTATTAACTACCGATATTGAATTTAAATATATTTCTCGGTTTGTCAATGTCATCTTGTATTCAAGATAAATGACGTATAATTTAGTAAGGACATCGATAAACATCTTTAAAATACTAAAAAAATCTTTATCATTTTTGTCGTCTCTTTACAGAACAAAGTAGTTAAATTTTGTACATGATAGATATATTGATGAAAAATAATTAAAATAATCCCTTGTGGCTCTCTGAGAAATCAAAGACACAAAATATATTATATTCCAGACATTGTTGACTACAAGAATTCTTTGCAAAAATTTCATTTATATATAAATAATGAAAAAATATGAATGAACTATAATTTAGAAAACATCATTATAAAACTTGATTTATTATATATTTATATATTTATGTATAATTTCTGAGATCTTGCATAGATCATATTAAAATGTGCGTATTTAAATCAACCAAGGCCTAACAGCTAAACTAATTAACTAGTTTTTCATGAAGATCATCAAAACAAGTTTTTCAATAGCTTTTAGAAAATGAGTTATATTTTATGATAATTTATATATAAACCGACAAAGAGCGTCATTTATAAAAGACCTTCGAATGAAGACGTTTTTGAATTTTTAAATTTATTGTCGTTTTATTCTAGCGACGAATATATATAAAACTAGTTTTATCTTATTTATTAATTTAAAAAAAATCAATGATCGAAAATATATGAAACAGCTTCATATTTTATATAACAAACTTTGTACAAGAAATTTTTTGCAGACGCTCTGGATCTCTACATTTAAATTTACATTCACAAAAGATTTTTTTAAATAATTTGTGTTATGATATATTGAATTACTATATTTTTTAACAAATGAGCATTTTATTTTATCATTTTTATATTTTAACTATCGTCGACAATTATAAGATTGCATAATCTAAAACCGCCATCCTGTTCGCCTAGTATTTAGAAAGTTTTCTGAATATGCAGGTTGCAAATATCGAGAACAAAAACAAATAATCTAATTTTGAATTATCTAATTTTATTACCAAAACTTTTTTTAAAAAAACACTTGGATACTTATGCAATATAAATAATGACAATAATTATATTGTTTTGCCGGAAAATAATGTAAAAGTTTCCCAACAAAGTCTTCTTGCGTGATCCAGGTATAGTCTTAAAATAATTGTGCATTGACGCAATTTAGATAATTTTAGTAATTTGAAATTAAAATTGTAGTAATATGTAAAAAAAATTTAATTTCTAATATTTTCACAATATATAAACCTATATAGAACAAAGATCTATACTACTTAAGCTACAGATTGAATTGTAAAATATAAAAAATTACAAGTACCTAATTTTTTCTATCGGATTGAATTTAAAAAATTAAGAAATTACAAACAACTAATTTTAAATAGCCACAATATAAGTATGCTTTTATATAACTATTATAATTTTGTTCTATTAATAAATTATATTATCTTTTATTATTTTCAGATACAAAATGAATCGTCTAGCAATTTTTTTCACTGCAGTTTTGGCTCTTGGATTGGCAGAAGAAATCGAAGTAATTGAAATTGAATTACGTAAGTAGAAAAATTACATATGAAATGTAATATGATTCTAAATTAAATTTAGTGAAAGTGGGAATCCAGTAAAAAGAAATTTATGACCCGAGCACATGGAACTTTTATGGAAAAATGAAATATTACTTAATAAATATAACTGTAGATTAAAAAAACATTCTTTATATGAAACTTGCTATTAGAATAAGAAAACATTAAATAATAGATTTTTTGTTCATTGCGTACGAGTGTAATTTCTAAGAGCTTTAATATATTTTTAATCGATCTAAAATTAAATTATACAAATGCAAGCCGATACAAAAAAAATTTGCAGTTGAATTTTTTTTTATTTATTTATTTTTGACAATCAGAAAAATACAACAGTGCAGTAAAAAATTGCTTGAAAAATATAATTAATAAAATTTGTTTAGATTTTAATTTTTAGAGAACTTTAATTTCAGAAAGTTTGTTGTTTAAATATACCAATATTTTTAAGCAATTGATATTACTTAAGATTTAAATTAAATTTTTGCAATAAAAAATTGCAGTAAGTAAAATTGTAATAAAAAATAGAACTACTGAAACGAACAGTTTCTATATATGATCTCTATATTTGTTTAGATGCATTCAACAAGCAATTTACGTTAAAAAAAAATATAGAGAACATATGAAGAATTGCTGTGGGTTCTTCAAGATATTTCTATCATTTATTACACAAATGAAATATAATATACCGATTAATATAAAAATATAATAAGATCAACAAACTTCAGTTGGAAAGTTTACCATTTTCTATCGGAAATGTTTAATTTTCTATACATGAGTAATAAGTATATCCGCTCGTAAAGTTCGTTGCAGAATAGAAATTTCTTTTATATATAAATATATACATGTATGTATACATTATACATATTTATGATTATACAAAAACATTAACAACCTAACGATTTACTTTTACTCTCGTGTTTATAATGAATGCGTAAATTAAACGGTTAGTGAGCAAAAGTGTACATGATTTTATTAAGAGGTATCGTGTTGCATTATGAGAACAAATTATGTAAAATTGTGAGATTAAAATAAAGATTTGATATTACAAATCATTTTCATACTTTTATAAAAAAAACTGGTGCATACAATCAACTAATGGTAATAATAAAAATAAAGTTTGGCTCTTTGTTATTCATAAACTCTACTAAATTAATAGAGTACTGAAAAACGAGACGAGAGTTGAAAGCTTTGTCTAAACATGGCATTTTATAAATTAAACATATTTTTAAATTAGAAGAACAGTGTTAATCATCAAATAATTCTTATCAATTAATTTTCCTAATAATTCAATTATTTTTTATTAATGTTCTTCTTACCTTTGCAGCAAGTTATCTGACCACCTGCCCCCGCAATTCGGCCGAGCTCGACACCTGCCTGAAGCAGTCGATTGCGGCCGCGGTGCCTCAACTCCGATCAGGACACGAACTCCTGGGACTTAGGCCAATTGACCCTATGGAACTCTCTGAATTCAAAACCGGAGTTGACGCCGGACTTATGCGCAGCAAATTGGTAGCAAAGGACTTCAAAGTTCACGGATTGAGCAATATGGTCGTCAAGGATGTCAAGTGAGTAAAGGACTCTGTAATAAAAAAATTATGGTAAATAATAAATTTATGTGGATTAGATGTTTTTGTTTATAAAATGATTTTACTGAAAATGATTTTCAAGTGTAACTTCACGGTTTGAGAAATTAGATCAATTTTTTTCTCTAATGTCTGTAATCAGCAAATTTTTGGGTGTGCTTAGAATGTTCAAATCAAATCCCAATCCATTGATTGGACGTCCAAGTATGATGGTATATAAGATAAATTTTATGGATATTTGTTCAATCTATTTATTTTACTCTAGATCTGAAGTGACCGACAATTCCCTGCTCATAAACGCCGAAGTGTACTTCCCAAAAGTTCTCAGCGAAGGATCCTACAAGGGCGACAGCAGCTTTGGAGATTACCAAATCAAGAGCCGTGGAATTTTCAACGTCACCATGTGTAAGTAGATATTTATAAATGTAAAATATTAATACTTTTAGATATTTAAAATATGTGAGAGTTTATTAAATATATTTGTTTTGGTCTTCAGATGATGTGACAGTCACTTGGAAAATCGAAGGAGCAACTGAAGAACGCGATGGAGAGACTTACATGCGCATCAAACACTTCCGTGTCAGCCCAAAAGTTGGTGATATGAAAATCTATGCAAGTGGGCTTATACCCGATGAAGGACTCAGTAAGTATACAGTAGTTAATCGTATCAAAAAACAAAACAAATAGATAATAAATTGGTAAAAGATGCAATTCAATAAAAGAAGCCGGTAATGACTTCTATGATCAAAACATTAGACATAAATTTTTTAAGTAATGTATGTTTTGACGAATATCATTTTGGCAAATCAATAGTCTCAGAGAAATAGTTCAAGAAAAAAATTCAAGATGAGAAAATAGTCTCAGAATAAATGCTGTTAACCCAGAAGTTGTTGAAAAATACAAAAACCAACTGGATTCATATGCGAATCCAAAAATAGGTCATCACCCAATCGTTTTGGATCAGAAGATTGAAACGATTTTGGCCATGAGGACTTAGTTTCAACATGAACTAAATATAATTCAAGCCGTAAACTAAGAAAACTTCACTTAACATAGTGTCGTATCAGCTCTTAGAAATCAACTGTTCAAAACCCTTTCTGACAAATACTGCCCATTAAAAACAATCTTGGATTCAACAGCAACAATCTTTTTTTTAATTTAGAAAATGTGTTATGTATAAGCATAAGACTATTATGTCTTTTATTATTACTATTTCATTTTATTATTAATTTTCAGATAACGCAGCCGTTGCCTTCATGAACCAATACTGGCAACCTGCCTTCCAGGCACTTTTACCATACGCAGAAGAACACGGAGACCAAATCATGACAAACTTTGTCAACGAAATGTTCTTGAGAATCCCATTCAACAAATTAATGCCAGTTGAATAAAGCCAAAATTTAAATATGTATATAAAAAACATATAGTAAATAAGCAAAATTATTTTGATATTTTTTGGTGATTCCAACCAACCAATTCTATGTAGTTTGATGCGTTTAGTTTTATAAGTTGCACCAAACGATTGATTCAATTTTAGAATCCTTATGATGAGAAAAATTATTTTTCAAATGTTACAAAACTGGTATTGAAATTAAAAAAAAAACAGGACAGTTTTGTACTGAATTTATGTACAAAAAGTTACTAAAATACGCCTGAGCGAATACTTGGAAAGTTTACTGAAGATTTTTTTATTATTTACTTCTAACTTCTTCCTGTGTAATGTGTTGATGATAAAATATTCATTTATTAAAGTTATATTTTTTTATTAATTATTATTAAATTTTCTTATCATCAATACTTTAATTTTAATCATTTTATTATTTGATAATATATCATATTACTTCTATTTTTATAATTCTTACATATTTAAAATTACAATTTCATTTAGTTTTATTTTTTATTTCAATATATAAAACAACAAAGTTACAACATTTCATTTTGCAGGAAGAAGTACATTTCGAGTTTTTTAATTTTATCTTATTTTTTATATAACATTCTTAATAAATAAAAAAAGATTTAATAACGAATCATACAAACGAGTCAAAAATTATATAGCATATATGTAAATGTAATTAGATATGAATTATGCACAATTAAGTATGTTCTTAAGTTACCATGTTATATTTCATTTTGTAAAATGTGAGTTATTTTTTGTTAACAAACAAATATTTTGTGATGTCCTCATGTTCTGTATTGCTTTTAAGTATGCAAAATATAAGATCACAAACATTCTTGTGTTTTTATTTATCTTAACTAATTATTGTCATATTTAATATGAATACATAATTACAAGTTGACGAAGGAATAAGGGACCTTAACCAAATCTGTTTTTTTATCATCATGAAATATATTATTCAAATATGTCGATCATGTTATTAAAAATAATTTAAAAAAAAGATTAAATATAAATAATTATATTTAATGCATCAATGACGTCTATTCTGACTGAACTATTCAAATTCAAGATTCAATTCGAAAAAATTGGTTTCGTGGTTTTTTGTTTGTTTGCGTTTGTTTCCAAATAGTTTTTCCACTGAAGAGTCAAATTAAAGACCCAAACGTACGGAAATCTATTTTTTAAACATATTTAGTCTTATATATACCTATGGCCATATGAAAAAAATATTATATTGTATATCAAATCAAGTTGGGGTAGAACATGCCCCAAGTTGAAGTCTTTGGACTATTCCTACGACGTAGTAAGTTTCAAGGAACTTTATTAATTCATTTACAAATATATATTTATTAATATGTGTAGTTTTGCAAATGTGTATCAGGTTCATTTAATCCTTCATTAAGAAGATTAGTGTTTTTCGCAATTGATTTATTTGAAATAATCGACCTCTTCGATTCGAATCGAATCAACGAACTTGACGCCCATGTCCTCTCAGAAGCAATACTGGAATTATAATCCATTAGAATAATATTAAATAATTTACAAAGGCTTAAACTTCAACGAACAAACATATCATTCTTTGTCATGGACTGATAGTTCAATATGAACAGAGATGAACTCTTAAAATATTATTATGTAACTTACACATTACAGATTTTTTTTATTCACCATGTAATTTACAATTGCATACTGCAACTGCACCTTAATGCAAAACAAATATAAAAATGATATATAATAATTAATGACAAGTAGAAGTTACTAGTTACTTCAACTTTAAATGAAAAATACAATTAGGTAAGAGTAAAGTACCAGAACTCTAGAAGGTATGTTTTTTAAGTATACCGGAAAGTAGAAAAAATAGTAAGTAAATAATGGTGACAACATACAGTACTGTCTCATTTTAATCTCAAAACAACAGATTTTGAAAAAAACAAGAAAAAATACCAAAAATATTCAAGTTTTTATATATCTATTTTTTATCGTATAAAAAATTCTTTAATGTTTATGACCTCAAAAACATTTTACTGCACTTAATGTTTCCATGTTTTTGAAGAAAATATTTCACGTTGTTTGCATTAACTTTATTACAACTCGCGAATTCCGTTAAAAAACGCAATCAAAATGTAAAATGCTTTAATGGCTTTAATAAATTCTCAAAGATTACGAAGATTTATGTGTACTTCATATGTAAAGATTTCTGAAAAATGTTATCCAAAGTTGGGAAAATATGCAGACAAGCTTGATAATAACTACAAAAACTGATTCTTGAAGTTTTTCCCAATTTCGACCCTGGTGCACCTATAACATTTTTGCGATTATCTCTCATAGTGCTAATACAGTTACAAGTATTTAAGTGAGTCACAAAACTAATTATCATTTAAAATGTATATGAAAATCGATGACCAGCGAAATAAAAACATTTTAAAAAAAATATTCGCGATGGAATATAGAAGTGCTCTTAAAACCGGTAAATATCGAGATCTCAGAGACAAATTAACGATATTGGCTAAGTAGATTCGGTAATGTCGTTTTTAGATTAATTTCAAGTATTGTCGCAAAAACACCGTTAAATAAACTGTTGGAGATTTATTTGAAAATGAATAAACAGACCAATATGATTAAAAACCACTTTTATATTTGGATTTATTATTTTTGTTGATTAAAGTGTAGTTCATATATGAATTGCACTACAACTTATTTCTCTTTTTGATATATTCTATTTTAAATGAATGTAATGATCCTTCGTACTTGATTGAAAAAATATTATCCTTTTTGATGTAAAATATTATATGAAATTTAGTATCAACCAAAAAAAACAAAGAACTTTTCATAATTAAGTTATGCATTTTATTTTATTTATTTATTCTAGTTACTGGAACTAGTCTCTAAATCAATTATCTTTATCTTTTGTTTCAATATATCGCACCTCGTCAACTTTTGATCATTAATATGTATAAATTCATAAATCACACGTGGTGCCTTCCAGATAAAGAGCGATTCGAATCCAAAGCAATTAGATTTCTATATATAGATGTTCGAAAATCGAAACCTGTTGAGAGAAATAATGGTCACTAATTGCAAGATCAGTCATCGGACTAATATAATATTTATCGATATTAGATAAAACAAAACCACACTCAAAGTCATGTAATGATATTATATATTACCACGTGCTTAGCTATTCGGAGACGAGAAAGATATAGATTGTACAGTGTATCTTTTGACGAGAAAAATTGAAAATTATTGATGCAATTTCATAGATTTAATCCTATCTATCCGAAAAAGCTATTTATTTCGTTTGAAACTATATATTTGATACTCATTTGATGAATTTGAGTCACGCTAAATTTCAAAACTCATAATGCACAATACAAAAAGTTAGATAGAATATTCCATTCGTAATCTGTTCTACCCGAAATTCTACCCGAACATATGAAAAATTAATATAATATATGTATATCAATATAAATGTTTGCGTCCCAAACTTAACCGGTACGCGGCTTTGCGCACTAACCTCGACCTAAGCGTTGTTTCAGGTTGAGATCAAGTCTTTCTGCACTGGTTGAAAATGGGACGTTTGAAAAAGCTTGATTTTGAACAGCGGCAAAATCGTATTTTTTTATATATTTTCTGTCCTTGCAGCGCGTTATATAACATTTATTATTCCTGCAAGGATATTCTTACTCGGTACCAATTTTTCCTTCCAAAACAATATTGACCATTACGCTAATTGTTCATAAGATACGTCGTTGAACTTTGGTTCCGACGTATGGATCATTAATAATTATGTGCATAATATATATATATATTATATATATATATATATAGATATATAAACAGTTTTTCGAGTCCTAAATAAGGATTATTATTTGCATGCGAAGTTCCAAAATAACACAACGGAATTCCGATCTTATTGCATATGCATTCTCACTTAATGACCGATTTTTTACGATTTTATATTCACATACACAGAATCAAAACATTGTACCGACTTGATTAAAAATTAGCTCAACAATAGAAATAATCGTGTATCTATACAGATTGGTACATTTTAGCTATATTTTTGTTTAGAAAAACCATTAAAATTTAGCACTTGGTAAATTGAATGAATGAATTGGTATTTTTATTTTAATAGACAAATATATGTATAAAACGCTCTATTTATAGCGTTACAAATTCAGAAACATTATTTTTTTGGTTGCAAATTAACCAGCTTGTGAATAAGTATGTTAAATTTTAAAATAATAATATTTGTGTATATAAATAATTTTTTGAATTGATTTTTGTAATCATCTTATATTCAACGTATAATGATCTAAATTTTTTATTTTTGTCCATTTAGGGGGCGTCCATCAATTACGTGAGCCTTAAAGGGGGGTGTTCGACAAAAAATCACAAAATATCACGTAGGAAAAAAGGGTCTAGCAAGATATCACGTGTATTTATTTTTTACCTCAATTTAAAAAAAAATCTAAAAATTTTCAAAAAAAATTCAAAAACTTTACAATTTTTTCTAAGTACTAAAAATACACGTGTGGGGAGGGGGAGAAATTTTTAATATCACCACGTATCACCAAGGGAAAAGGGGGGTCCCAAAAATCCTTTGAAATCGATCACGTGATTAATGAACGCCTCGGGGCCCTTGGGCCTTTGGATAGACCTATTAGCATATATAAGACCTAACTCTATCATTTCTTTATGTTAAGGGGGATATGATAGATTGTCGATACTGTTGGAAATTAAGAAAATCAACGTGACATTTTGAAAGTTCAAGACTAATATTATTATTTTAATCAAGTTATTTATGAATGAGAAAAATTTGCTACCAAGTGCCTACCTACTAAATTATAATAACTAATTACTAAAAAATTTAGGAATTGATATGATGGTAAAGTAAACTTAAAATGATATATTATGCTTTTAGTTATCTTGGTAATCATAAACATCCCTTAACACAAAGAGGCGACGATAGGGTCAAATTTGGTAACCAAATTTTGATTAATTGATAATTGTAAAATTTTGGACTATTTTATGGTATTATTATTAGTACCTACATATAATAAGAGAGGAA